ACCTAACAAGACATAAGAGAATGCATACTGGAGAGAAACCCTACAAATGTGAAGAATGTGGCAAATCCTTTAACAAGTTATCAACTTTAACAGCACAAAAGAGAATGCTTAGTGGAGAGAAACCTTACAAATGTGAGGAATGTGACAAAGCCTTTCATGGTCTCTCAATTCTTACAGTACATCAGAGAATTTATACTGGAAAGAAACCCTACAAATGTGGAGAATGTGGCAAATTCTTTAACAAGTGCTCACATCTTACAGCACATAAGAGAGTATGTACTGGAGAGAAACCCTACAAATGTGAAGAATGTGGCAAAGGCTTTAGCTGGTGCTCAGGTCTTACAGTCCATAAGAGAATTCATACCGAAGAGAAACGTTACAAATGTAAGGAATGTGGAAAAGCCTTTAAGCAGTGCTCAAAACTTAAACAACATGAGAGAATTCACACTGGAGTGAAACCCTACAAATGTGGAGAATGTGGTAAAGCCTTTAAGCAGTCCTCAAAAGTTAAACGACATCAGAGAATTCATACTCAAGAAAAACCTTACAAATGCGAGGAATGTGGCAAGGCCTTTAGTCAGTCCTCAACCCTGACAATACATAAGAGAATGCATACTGGAGAGAAACCCTACAAATGTGAGCAATGTGACAAAGCCTTTAGACAGTGCTCACAACTTACAGTACACCAGAGAATTCATACTGGAGAGAAAGTGTATAAATGTAAGGAATGTGACAAAGCCTTTAGCCAGTGTTCAAATCTTATAGTACACCAGAGAACTCATACTGGAGAGAAACTGTACAAATGTGAGGAATGTGGCAAGGCCTTTAATCAGACCTCAACCCTGACAAGACATAAGAGAATGCATACTGGAGAGAAACCCTACAAATGTGAGCAATGTGACAAAGCCTTTGGCCAGTGCTCATATCTTAGAGTACACCAGAGAATTCATACTGGAGAGAAACTGTATAAATGTGAGGAATGTGACAAAGCCTTTATTCAGTCCTCACACCTAACAAGACATAAGAGAATGCATACTGGAGAGAAACCATACAAATGTGAGCAATGTGACAAAGCCTTTAGCCAATGCTCATATCTTACAATACACAAGAGAATTCATACTGGAGAGAAACTGTACAAATGTGAGCAATGTGACAAAGCCTTTAGCCAATGCTCATATCTTACAGTACACAAGAGAATTCATACTGGAGAGAAACCATACAAATGTGAGGAATGTGGCAAAGCCTTTCATGATCCCTCAATTCTTAGAATACATAAGAGAATGCATACTGGAGAGAAACCCTACAAATGTGAAGAATGTGGCAAATCCTTTAACCAGTGCTCAAAACTTACAGTACACAAGAGAATACATACTGGAGAGAAACCTTACAAATGTAAGGAATGTGGCAAAGCCTTTAACTGGTGCTCAACTCTTAAAATCCATAAGAGAATTCATACTGGATAGAACCCTTACACATGTGAAGAATGTGGTAAAGCCTTTAAGCAGTGCTCAAACCTTAAACAACATCAGAGAATTCATAGTCAAATAACCTTACAAATGTGAGTATATGGCAAGGCCTTTAAGCAGTGTTCAAGCCTTACAACACATAAAACAATGCAAACGGGAGAGAAACCCTACAAATGTCAAGAATGTCACATAGCCTTTAACACTTTTTCACCTCTTCCAGTACATAAAAATGTATGGTAATATGTACTCTTATACAAGGAACAGTTGATAAAGGAAACATCTGAGAAGTGTTCCCCAAACGGGTTAATCAGAAGTCAATGTAACATATTAGCATCCAAGAGGTGGGTAAGTTAGTGTCCACAAAGCTCCATATCTACTCTCATGGGTTCAGATAGTCCTTAGGAATTCAGCGTAGTTCAGAGGAAGCTCTCAACCACACAGTTTGGATTCACTAGATTCTCAAATATAGGTAATTGAACTTGTTTAAGTCTCCATTCCTAAATTTATTCTTTTGCTTCCCACCTATAGATAAAACCACACACCAAAAACATCACACTAACCACATTCTGCTCATGAAATACAAGTGCGGAACAGGAGAAAGAAACAAGTGTTGAAGGGGGAAAGAAAATGGGAGGTTGGAAGAAGTACTGGGTCAGGAGTGTGTGTTTTACGCTCTCACTGGAGTTTAAATGCACATCGCCTGTCATGTCTAATTTAGTCTAAAAGGAAGAGAGATATGTTTGTCCATAGGTCAGAAGTGTGAAGCTGGGATCCCCTATTAATGAGATGAGGTAATGGCAGTTGGGTTGTTCTGTAGGGGTATTGACCTGGTAGAATTGACAGGTCTCTGGCTCTAATGCAGAACCATCCTACTGGAAGGTAGCTGTTTCCATACTGTTTGGTCCATGTTGGGAGCCTTATTTCCTAACCCAAATTATGCCACAATTCTGCAGGAAGCCAAATTTGTTCTGATCCTTCTGTCTGCACCACATAAGGACAGGTTAGTTGCCTGTATTAGGGAGCAGGATGGCAGAGGAATCCTATGTGCTAGATGAACAGTTCTGTAGCCCAGTTTGGGGTTCTAATTGGTATACCTGTGACAGACATGTTTTTCCTGTGACACTGCCGACTACCACAGAATTCTTAGCCCATTGCCCAGTTAGTGATTTGTGCTCCAGATGGCTTATGAGAAGAGTTTGGGAGTCTCACACATTCCTAGTTGATTCTCCCTGACTTGATCTCAAAATATTCCCTGCATAGAAGGCAAAGGTTTTTCTATTACTTTGAGAAGACCTGTTTTATTAGTGACAGTAGCACCTTGGGTGACCTTTATGAGTGGAAGAAAAGGTAGTTCTGTGCAAACTGCCTTACATGGAATTGTGAAGACTTTGGCATGGCCTCTGTGGCAGCAACTCCAGTGGAGCTGGTGTAGACAGAAGGAACTCAATCAGACCTCCCAGTATATGTTGTCCCACTGCCAGCATGGAAGTACTTTGCTGGGGACCTAGACAAGTATGGAGAGTCCAGGAGTTCACAGTGTGGTCAGTAGTAGTGCTGAGATTTGGGATGCAGGCATCTTGAGCAAGAATGCCAGGTTGAGGAAGGACCCAGCCTCTCCAGAGGGCTCTGTGTAAGTGACTTTCTTTTGGAGTTTTGTATTATGTCATCTGGAATGTGTATGTTTGATGAGCCCATTTTATATGTCACACAGTTTTGTTACGGGGTTCAAGAATGAACCTGAAGAGTGTCTGTGCCTGACTCTTCCTCTGATGTGTGATGGTGAGAACAGTGATGGTAGTTATTTGAAACTGGAGTTCTCAGCAGACGCAGTATGGTAGACAATAGTCCCCATGGCAGCTTTCAGATTAGGGGTGGTCACAGGGAGGCTCAGTTGCATATCTAAAGTGATAGATCAAGTGAGTGTTGGAGCCGGCAGTGAATCTAGAATCATAGGTGACTGGAGGTGGCAAAATCATTGTAGCTAATAACTTACAAAAGTTATCCAGAGTCTACGTTGAGGGGTCTGAGTTGTGACTGAGTGAGTGGAGGATAATCTCGTTGACCTTGTCCCTGACAGGTGTGGAACTCCAAGTTGGCCACCCTGGAGATGAGCCCCCAGAGAGTCCAAATGAGGCAGCATTAGGAAGAGAATGTGTTTTTGTGATAGGTAGGGAGCTAAGGGACTCAGAGGACAGGAACACCTTCCATTTAGCTGGAAGTCTTCATATCAATAAAGCATAGTCTTTTCCAATCCCTCATCTCTGTTGTGACAGCAATTAAAATGCCTCCCTACGTGAGATTGGAGCAAAGGACTGGGAAAAATAGGCTCAATGAATTGGGAAAGAGTTGAGATTGGAACCTGTAGATATTTTGACTTGTGGCAATCCCACTATAGAGATAACTAGTGGGTGCTTGGTGGTCTTAGAGACAAGCTGGGGAAAGAAGACAAACAGAACCTGGAAAGGCACCTGAGGGTCTTTGGTGACTCCAAGTGGAAGAATTGAGTAAGGGAGTCTATGAGATAGGGATTAATGAAATTTCAGGGACAGGCACCAAAGAATGGGTGCTCATCACCATTACATGTGACCCAAGATGTCATCCACTTCCTAGGCACATTCTTCAGTCACCTATTGCTATTGAACAGTACCATGAAGGATTATGTGAATGTCAGTGACCTATGTAGGCAGGTTATGTACCAAGATCCTGAGGATCTAGAGGATAGAGGCCTGCACTGAGCACTTAGATCTCAGGACTCAGCAAACCTCATGAAGGCTTCACAGCTGCCCCTGTGAGCAGGGACATCAGGCCCATCTACCCCATGAGTCATGGAGGCACCACATCAGGTGCACATCTCTGTCCCTGAGTGGTGAAATTGCAGAGCTGCTTGAGGTTCTGGGGTAACCAGATTCAGCTTCTCCCTCAGGTGGAGACATTGGAAGAAGAATGCAATTGGACCCCTTCATGGTCAGGCAGCTCCTAAGTAGCTGAACACTTTGCTTCTATTGAAGGCCTCAGTTTCCTTGTCCATCATCAGAGAGAGTTGAAATAGATTCCTGAGCCTCAGCTGCCATGCTTTCTCCTCTACCAAGGGCATAATGCAGGTATGAGTGCTGTTTTGTGCACATCCCCTGCCCCTGGTGGCCCTGGCAGTAGTGCAACAGAGGTAGGGCTAGTCATGTGCTAGGGAAATTTGATAGGTATTAGATCTCTGCCTTCCAGGGAAGTGTGTTCAAGATTTATGAGAAAGAGGAAGGTGAGCAGCTGGGACCTTTACTTTTGGGGTACCATGGGGATGTGGAAATCAGAGACACCATGGGCAGGACATTTCTTGGCAACATCCTCTGCATTTTTAGATTTGTTTGCATGGATTAACACAAAAGGAGGAGACTCATACCAGGAGAAGTTACAGATAGGGACTTTAATGGAGAACTAATTTCTAGAGAAGGGGCTCTTTCTATCCAACTGTGAGAACAGGCTGTGCTGCATGGGTTTGGAGAAGAGGAGCCCTTAGGAGAAAAGCTGCAGAAACTAGTCTTTGCTTCCTCCCTCTCCCACAGACCCTGTTCATCATCTCCCATCCAGACCCTCTCAGCATCTTATCCTTCCCTCTGGCTCCAAGAGGTCAAAGTTCTTCAGAAGTTTCACTTGTTCCAAGGGGCTGCAAACAATTATCATCTTCAAGTTGAGGATGAATTTAGAGTCTGGTTTCATTCCATGAACTGACTCAGTCAGAGATATAAGTAGCAGTCTTGTGGATTCGCAAAAGGCACAGAAGGACATTCTTGTGGACAGGTGAAAGCGCCTATATCTATGGATCCCTGGTCAGCATCAGGTCCTCTTTCATAGTGATTCCTGGGGCACCAGTTCTCTAAATGATGGACACAAAAGGAGGGGGACCAGAGGAGTAGCTCCTAGTGGGCTCACATATGCCTTTTCTGGAGCTGACAGATGTGGTGCGAGCTGGATCCCTTATTTCAATAGGGCAGCAGCACCCTCAAATCCCAGAACAGCCATGTGAAATCTCAGGGGTAATTCAAGGCCTGGGAGACAGAGACACTATAAAGTTTGGAATTAGTGTGGGATCTGGGATTCAGATAGTTTACCTGGGCACCCAGCTCCACTATTCTCCAACCCTTTGATGGAGGTGAAGGCCTCACTGCTCTGGTACTTGAGGCATAATTCTCATAAATTTAATGTGCCTTTTCAATCTCTTTTTCTCTTTTATCTATATTTGTCTATAATCACTATGTATTACTGATCTCAGTGTTAAGAGAGATCAGTGTTACTGATCTTGTGTTAAAGACATGCTATACATTGTGTATTATTCTTCCTCATGAATTCTTTGCTCTACTGTACGATTCAATTCATACGAGGTACTTTGAGTAAAGTTTCTAGAAATACAAAGTAGGATATAGAGACATGGGCTATAGCAGTGTGAAAAAAAGCTGTAATTTAAGGGGTACAGTGATTCACTTTTGTAAGATGAAGAAATGTTTCTATGTATGGAGGTCATGGTTGCAAAACAATAAAAATGTACTTAAGTGCTATGAAATGTATGGTTAAAAATGGTTAATATTTTAATTTTATGTGTATTTTACCACAATGTAGAAATAAACTTAAATGAAGAAACTACAATATTACCCCCAGAATCCTAACACCCCAGAACACGAACAACTTGGAATCCAAATGAAAAATTTGAGCCAATTTTGCCCCAGATCCAGTCGCCAATTTGGAATTTGAATGCCCAGCCCACTCTTGGTACATTTTTGTGCCTAAGTTTCCCCAGCGCTTAGGGCACCCATAAGCTTTGTTGTTTGGTTTGTTGTCAGAAGCTGTAGTGAAAGCATCTTGTGTGATTTTCACTGCTAATTTTATTCTTTTGTGCCTGTTTTGTGTTACTTTTTGTATAATAATACGTGTATTGGCTATGGGTCCGAAAAAGTTAGTGAGGAAAATAAGTATAAGAGGAAAGCTGTTAAAGCTACAATTGGCATTAAGCATGAACGCAGTACACGTGTGTCGCTACTATGTTTGGGGTGCCTAAATCAACTGTACGATTTTGAAAAACAGCTGACGTGGCCTCGGTGCCCATAGCT